CTTTCCTTCTTTTTCTCTTCCCCCTCTCTCTCCCTCTCCCTCCCTCCTTTCTTTCTCTCCCTCCCTCCCTCTTTTTCTCTCCGCCTCTCTCTATGCCTCCCTCTCTTTCTCTTTCCTTCTTTTTCTCTTCCCCCTCTCTCTCCCTCTCCCTCCCTCCTTTCTTTCTCTCCCTCCCTCCCTCTTTTTCTCTCCGCCTCTCTCTATGCCTCCCTCTCTTTCTCTTTCCTGCTCTCTCTGTCTTTTCCAGGTTGCACATGGTCAGGCTGATGCTGCTGGAACGGCTGCTGCAGACCCTTCCCCAGCTGAGGAACGTGGGCGGGGTCCGGGCCATCCCCTACATGCAGGTGGGTCTGAACGATTCTTCCCCCTGCCATCTTTGGGATGCGTATGGGCTGAGGTTTGCCAGGCGTTTCCCCCTAGCTGTGGTTCCCTTCTCTGCTTCTCCCTCTTCTTCTTGGCCTGGTACTCAAAGACCAGATCCAGTTTCTCTCCTAATGCTGCCCAGTATCCTAAGCGCAGCCTGGAAATACAGAAGGTCCCCCTTGGTACAGCGCCTCTCGCTGACCCTGCTTTTGCGGCTGAACACTAGAGTGTATTATTTGAATGCTTTTTAGTGTGATTTGGAGGGCCAGGGGTGAGTGGGTGAGTGGGAGAGACTTCTGTCCACCAAGTGGCGGGGCGGGGCGGGGGGTTGTTCCACACTTCCCCAGTTGTTATCTCTGACTTTGCACTTCAATACACTTTGTCCCCAGGTGATCCTGATGCTGACCACAGACCTCGATGGCGATGAAGAAAAAGACAAAGGGGCACTTGACAACCTTCTGGCCCAGTTGATTGCTGAGCTCTGCATGGAGAAGAAGGTAACTAACACACATTCTCTCTCCCACCCACCCACCCACCGAAACATTTCAGGAACTCATGGGGGTTGCGGGGGGGGGGAGGGAATGCCCTTAAGCAGCCCATCATCGAAGGGGGTCTGTCTGTCTACCTCTCATTCTCTCTCTCTCTCTCTCTATCTTTGTGTCTCTCTCTCTCATTCTCTCTCTCTCCCCCTCCCCCCCTCTCTCTCATACTCTCTCTGTGTGTCTGTATCTCATACTCTCTCTGTGTGTGTCTCTCATACTCTCTCTGTGTCTCTCATTCATTCTCCTTCTCATTCTCTCTGTGTCTCTCTCNGGGGGTGCCCCCCCAAGAGCAAAAATCGGCTTGATTTTGTTAAAAAAAGAGCATGCAGAGTCTTTAGGAGACTTATAGAGTGCTCCTGGGGGGGGGGCAAAATGGAGCAAAGAACGGCCCGTTTTTCACTCATTTCTGCCCTCCCCAGCCCCCAGGAACACTCTGGAAGCCTCCTAAAGACTATGCACGGCCATTTTTGCGAATGGGGCAGGGTTTCCGGAGGCAAAAAATACTGTATTCAGTGGATAAGATGCACCCATATTTTCACCCTCTTTTTTGAGGGGAAAAAAGGTGCGTCTTATACTCTGAAAAATATGGTACTTTTCCTACCGGTTCACAAATATGAGCCTGTTGACGCCTGCGTACAGCCGTCTGTGCACACGCTTTGCTTGCCAGCACGGCTTGCACACATGTGTGCTGCTTGAAAACATGCGTAAATAGGACAGCAATAGAGTCAGGTCGGGTGTAGCAATTTCCATTACCAGTTTGGGTGAACCGTTCCGAACCGTCTGAATACCACCTCTGGTGCCGGCCTACCAGGTCAGTGATGACCCCTGGTCAGTGGCTAAGACACTGAGCTTGTCGATCAGAAAGGCCAGCAGTTCAAACCCCTAGGATAGGTCTCCTGCGTGAGCAGGGGGTTGGACGAGATGACCTCCAAGGTCCCTTCCAACTCCGTTACGGTTACAATGCTTCGGCTCTCTCCTACTCCTAGTCCGAATCGATGGTCTTGGAAACCGCTGACAACGTGAACAACGGGAACCCGTCTCCCCTGGAGGCTCTCCTGGCTGGGGCTGAGGGCTTCCCCCCCATGCTGGACATCCCCCCCGATGCTGACGACGAAACCATGGTCGAACTGGCCATTGCCTTGAGCCTGCAACAGGACCAGCAGGGTGAGAAGAGGCCGGCAGCCCCTTCCTTTCTGCAGTGTGTGTGTGTGTGTGTGTGTGTGTGTGTGTGTGAGAGAGAGAGAGAGAGAGAGAGTGAGAGAGAGAGAGAGAGAGAGAGTTCGATTCTGACCGGCTCATGGTTGACTCAGCCTTCCGTCCTTCCAAGGTCAATAAAATGAGGACCCAGATTGTTGGGGACAATAGGCTAACTCTGTAAACCACTTAGAGAGGGATATAAAGCACTGTGAAACGGTATATAAGTTTAAGTGCCCTTCCTTCCTTCCTTCCTTCCTTCCTTCCTTCCTTCCTTCCTTCCTTCCTTCCTTCCTTCCTTCCTTC